ATGTAACTGGAATGCATGTTGCGAATTGGACAATGGATAACACTGGCAAGTTGGTGAGTAGGTGGGGGTATAAGAATGATAGTTTTAGGTTATGGACAAAAGTATTAGAAATTCAAGATGGATTTATTATTATAAGAAAATATGATGATGCATATGATTAGGGATCCATGATTAGGGATTTTATGATGGAAGCTTCTAAGGCTACATAATATCAGGCATGGGTCTAAAAGATGAATGAATTGAAGAAGGTAGATCCCAATGCACGGACTTGGTTGATGGAAGTTCCTACCAAGAGTTGGTGTAAGCATGCCTTCACTTTTTACCCTAAATGCGATGTTTTGATGAATAATATTTTTGAGTCTTTTAATGCTACAATTCTAGTTTCTAGGGACAAACCTATTCTGACTATGTGTGAATGGATAAGAAAATATCTTATGAATAGGTTAGCTGCATCTGCTAGTAAACTTGAAAATGGCAACATAGGGTGATGCCAATATCTAGGAGGAGGTTAGATAATGAAGTGTTCAACAATGGACATTGGTTGCCAACTTGGCCAATGGCTGAGCAATTCCAAGCTACACATAGTTTCAACACTCAAGAGTTTATTTTTGATATTGCAAAAAGGTCATGTAGCTGTAAATTTTGGGAATTAGTAGGAATTCCTTATAGGCATATTGTAGCTGAGTTGAGCTATAGGAAGCAAAACCTTGATGAATTTGTTGATGAGTATTATACAAGAGAAAAGTTTGCACTTTGTTATGGTTATTCAGTAAGTCCTATCAATTGCCAAGATATGTGGCCAAAAGTTGAAACGGAACAACTCCTACCACCTGTATGTAAAAAGTTGCCAAGATATTTTCCAATCCAGGCCTGGTCTGCAAGATGCCTATCAGGATCCACGAGCACAAAGGTTTGACAGCCATGCTCATAATTTGCTCATCTTTAACATAATAAGCATTGACTCACTTCACCCACAAATTATCTGCCTTGCTGCTTAGATTCCACAACAGATTTATAAGACAAGCCTTATTCCACAGAGACATATCCACTATGTTCAACCCTCCTTTATTCTTAGGCTGGCACAAATTGCTCCAAGCTATTGGAGATTTCCTAGTGATAATTCCTTTTCCCGTCCACATAAATGTTCTACACAGGGCTTTAATTTTACTGAGAATACCTTTGGGAAGAGGCAAGCATTGGATCCAATAATTAATAGTGCTGAAGACGACACTATTAATAAGCTGCACCCTCTTTGCGTAGCTAAGCATATGAGAGCTCCAATGATTTATCTTGGCTGCAATTTTATCCACCAAAATCAGACAATGATTAGTAGAAAGCTTATTGCTGGTTAGGAGGATACCTAAGTACCTGAAAGGTAATAAACCAAAACCAAAACCAGTAATGTCAGCAATTTTATTCATGGTGTCACTATCCATCCCTCCACAAAACAGCTTACACTTCTTAGGATTCACAAAGAGTCCAGTTTCTTTAGAGAACTCATTAAACTTATCCATCACCAATCTAACAGAAATATCATCTCCTCTAGTAAAGAGCAGAAGGTCATCAACAAAGTTAATGTCAATGATGCCCAACTTCTCACACTTGCTATGATAATTGAAGTTAGGGATATTTTCTAGACCAGCTATCTTCCTATGCAAATATTCCATTACTATCACAAAGAGCACAGGGGAGATAAGATCCCCTTGCCATAAGCTCGTCTTCGCTTGCAGACTAGCAGTTACATGATCATTAATCTTAAATTGATAGCTCACAGTTTGAATGGCCCACATTATCCAACCTACAAATTTCCAAGGGAAGCCCATCTCTTCCATGACAGTTTTAAGTGCAAACCACTCCATAAAATCGTAGACTTTCTGAATATCCATCTGGATTATACACCTTGGAGTTCCTCTCTTTTTACTGTACCCTCTAATTAGCTCATAAGCCAGCAGGATATGGTCATGAATTTTTGGCCTGGGACAAACACAACTTGATTCCTACTAATAATGAAGTTCAACACTTTCCCAAGCCTCCCAGCCATCACCTTTGAGATGATCTTGTAAATTGTTGTACAACATGAGATAGGTCTATAATCTCTAATGGTCTTGGCATTATCCTGTTTGGGAACCAGAGTGACTAAAGTTCTATTAAACCTCTTGCCTAATCTCCCTGCATCAAAGAATTCCTGAACCTCTTTTACCACATTCCAAGATACCTTGAAAAATTTGGACCCAAACCCATCAACTCTAGGGGCTTTCAGATCATCAATGCTACTAAGTGATTTTCCTATCTCCTCAACAGTCACATTTTTAACAAGCTCCCCACGCTGCTCCTTGGTAAGTTGCTTGCCTCTTCTAAGGGCTCCAATATCCACACATGCAATATTCAAATTAAAATCCCCATAAGGCTGCCATAAAATCTCAGAACTTCCTTAGAGATCTCATCATGACAACTAGCCATGCTACCATCATCCCTTTGGAGGCCAGTGATTGTACTTTGCTTATACTTGCTCTTCAAGGCTGCATGGAAAAAAGAATTGTTCCCATCTCCAAGCCTAATCCAAGCAATCTTAGATCTCTGCTTTAACATATGTTCATCAATCTCATTAAGGTAAGTAAGCTTCTCATTGCTACCCTTCTCTTGCATAATTAAGTTGGCATTCAACTTATCTTTAAACAAATTTTGCTAGACTTCCATTAGGTGAGCTCTAGCCTCTACAATTTGGTTCTTAATACCAATTAGGGGTCTACTGAAATTCCTAATCACTTGTTTCATCTTAGTTAGTTTATTCCACAAGTTGCCACTCTTCTGTCAGTTCTTGGAAACTGCATCATGATACCCCTCTAAATCAATAACCTTGTTTATAAATCTGAACTGATACTTCCTCTTACTCTTTTGGTCATCTCCATTGAGGAAAAGTAAGGCATGATCAGAGATGCTTGGCTCCATAATATGCTGGCTCAAATGGTGATTTTTATGAAACCAATCCACATTAGCTATGATCCTATCTATCCTAGAATAGATAGACCCCTCCACATGTTTATTAAACTAAATAAACTTCTCACCCTTGCTCTCCATCTCAAACAGTCTATTCTTCTCCATCATTTTCCTAAGATCCTCATAGGTAACACGAAGCTTCCTTGTTGTGTATTCATCTGTGAACATAGGGTTCCCCAACACACTCCAAATTTTCCCCAAGCTTTGCTCCCCCCATAGCGACAACGACAATTGAGGAAGTTTAATCCATATCGACACCGTTCTGAGCATGTCCCTTCCATACAAAAGTCTTGTCTCCATTCCATAATCACCATCGACATGTTGTGAATTGTATACGGTCCCCTCAACATAACTTGCTCACGATCTTTCTCCGATTTGAATTTCAATATGAAGTACCCTTCATCATTGTAGAACATCTCCGGGAGCGTAAGAAAATTCCATGATTTGATCACGTAGTTTTTCACATTGTTCATACTTAGGCTTGTGCCTGTCATATACATAATCATCGATGTTTCCCAGAATCTTATCTCCGATTCAACACCAGCTTCTTCAATTTCTACTTCAATGTTACCATTGATGATTTTCGGAGCAATGAATTGAAGCTTTTTTCCATTTATTGTGTTCCGATTTCCACGGATGATATCAACCCACATCTTCCCTTGATTCTCCATCTCCTCACCATTACTCCTCTTTCCAATTTCAGATTTAGGGTTTGCAGAAATCCCTGAATCACCTGATTCATTCCCTAACTCAATATCCTCCACTTCCTTCACAAATTCTCCATTCTCCGTCACACTCTCCTCCCCCTCCGGTTCCTCTCCCTCTGTTTTGTGTCGCTGTGCGTTGGTTCCCGACGATTGGTTCACCTTCTTCTTCGGTGGTTTTTCTCTTCCCCCGACGAGAGCTTCCCATCACAACAAAAATATCTTGTATTAAATTTTATTTTATTTATAATACCCTTAATTATTTATCAGATACATTTAACTTTTTATCTTTCTACAATAAATAATTAGTAATAATTTTAACAAAAATACAATTAACTCACATTAAATTTTGTAAATGAAAATTAAAAAAGAACAAAAAGTTTATTCGAAAATAAAACTTATAAAGGAACAAAGAAAATGATTATTAACTTTTAATTAAAATAATATATAATTTCCAACAAATAATTTTCACATTATTTCATATTTATCTTTTAACATGTGCCGTGACCCTCGTGCACATGGTACCATTACCCAATAAAGTATTCACATAACATATGTAATGTTGGCCTCCTACTCCAATATTTTGAGACTTTTCTATTCTGAGTATTAATGTTGATCGGTGGTCAATATCCTAAGCCTTGCACATTGAAAATTGAGGTCCTATCTCTAAACTAACAAATTATCGTATCATATTTTTAATTGATAAAATATTTTTTTTAATCTTGTATGTTAATATTAAAATATATTTTGATCATAATGTTAATAATGTTAATTGTTAATTTAACTCTTTAAAACACTTTATTTTAATTATTTTTATTTAATTAATAATAAATTTAATAATTAATTTTAGAATTTTTCATCGTTAATTAAAAAAACTCAAATGAAATATTTTAAAAAGTTAAAGAATTAATATAAATTTTTTTAAGTTAAAGGACAAAAATGAATCTTAGTGTTATAATACAACACTAAAAAAAATATTTTGCTTTTTCAATTTTAATTTTTAAGCCTCGTACTAACAAAAAAAAATGATAACATATTTTTAATTTATAAGGTAAAATGTTTTAATTATGAAGTGTTTAAACAATTGAGGAAAAAGTTTTACTCATATCTTTTTCACTAGTAAGTTTTTTTTTTTTTTTGACACAGTTTAATTTCGTTAAGCATTAAAGTTTTGTAATTTGAAAAGGAAAAGCCTTAATAATTAAGTCAAGAATTTGATAGAATACTTTGCTGCTTCACACTAATTTTGATTATAATTTTTTTCAGTTCCATTTCAATTTGGTTTCATTTGAGAGAGAGATGTGGCCTGCGATTATCTGTGGTTTGATCATTTACAAATTATTCAAATGCTTCTTTTACGACGACGACGTTTCCGATATTGAAGCTTCCGATTCCACCGTTCTCTTCACCGTCGCTGATAGGTCTCGTTTTCTCTTTAACCTAACCAATTTTCACCTTTAAGATTCAATTTCACTCTTGTTTAATTCGTGAATCGAATTTCGATTTTAATTTTTTGCAGGCTTCAAAAGCTTTTTGGAGGTAAGGTTTTTGTTGGACTCAGAATTCCCGATTCCGATTCTGCTTCACCACAATCCATTGATCTCGTTCTTGTTACTAAACGGTATTTCCCTTATCTTCTCTCTTTTTGTTTTCGTGATTTACATATGCACAAATGTACTAATTTGAAAAAAATGAACAAATAAAACGTAATCGGTGATACTGTGGTTTTATTTTTTATTTTTTATTCAATTTCAATTTAATACTGCAGAGAGCTACTAGTGATAGCGGTGAAGAATTTCTCAGGAATTTTGACAGTTCATGGGGATGGTACTTGGCAATCTGAAAAGCCAGGCAAACATAATAAAGTTGAGCGTCACCCTGATCCGGTAACAAACCACTTGAATCAATTATGATTATGAATGTGGGTAGATTTCCAAATTAGTAACTTCTTTTATTAGTTGTTTTTTCAATTTGTATACAGGTGGAAGAAGTAAGAAAGCAAGCTTCTATTCTTGAATCCTATCTTGAACAAAGAGGGGTTGTTCTACCTAAAGGGTTTCTAACTTGTAAAGTTATACTTCCAAATCCTAAATTATGGTATGTTTTTTAATCTTTTGTTTACATTTGGTTTGTAATACATTATATGTTAAAGTTCTTCCGTTTGTATTTGCAGTACCATTCCTACAAGTGATTTTCCTCCTGAAGTTATTACCCATGAACAATGGAAGCTACAGAAGCCAGGGACAAAGAGTGTGATCACTAGTTGGGTGAAGAGTGCATTTCTTAGCGGGAAGAACAATATGCAAGAATCTGGTAATAAGAATCTTGAATTTGTTCTCAGCACAGCTCCAATATGGGATAGGTAGCTACCACTTGTATTCAATGATTCACTGGTTATATTTCTAATTTTCTATTCTTTTATTAAATTCCCTGCAATTGAATTTGGATGTTGTTAATGGTGCCTTGGCATTACTTCTGCTTAGGGGAGTAAATATATCAATCCATTTTTTAACTATTTGATGTTGGCTTAGTGTTTGGAATGGCTTTGCTCGACATGTGTCGAAAACCTATTCTTTCTCAGAGCTCTCAGAGCTTTGTTGGCATTACTTAAGACAACGGAATCTTAGTTTTTTACTCACAACAGATTGTTTGGGTTGCAGGTTGGAACTGAAAGGCAACAAGTATGCATTGGGAGAGTTCCTTGAGTTTAAGGGCAAATCAGAAGATGTCGAGGCATTAAGACATATCAGAAGATCAAAAGTTGGTAGCATGATAATCCAAAAGACAAGTATGTTTGGACTAGGTAATCTTCTCGGAATAATTATGTTTTGTATTCCAATTCTATTTAGCTGTAATAACAATAATCATAATATCCTCTATCCCAAAACTGCTAATATATAACAGACAAGCCAAGATAAATATTATGAACATTCCACATTGGCCCTATGAACAAAGTTGTTATTCAATACACTAGTTACATGTGTGACTCTTTTCTATAAAATTATAGTTTCAACTGATAATTACCTTTTTCTTGTGGAGGATAATGACCTGTTTACCTGCATTGTTATTATTGTCTAGTAGTATCTTGTTTCTTAAACTAACATGAGATGGTTTGCAGCTCCTTCTACGCTTCAAGTTTTATACACTTTGCGCGACTATAGAACTGAGGGAGCATTAGCACCAGAGTTGAATGAAGTGACTGTAAGATCAAATACTGAGATCATCTTTCAGGCCGAAAATGGTACCAAGATCAGAAAGTTTAAGCTCTCTTCAGTCTGCTCTATGCATCTTAGCGCATAAAGTTACTCGACTGAAATGTTGGAATTGTCAGTAACTGTAGTTTGTTTTTTTGACATACAATACTATTCCATGCATGCATTATATATATATAGTATCAATATAGTTGACAGTTTTATTTTATTCACATGATCATACTACATAGCAATGAGAAATTCAGCTTCTCAAGAAAGCTGCAATAAGTCTTGCTGGAAGAGTGAATTAACCTTGCTACCTCAAACTATGCTCATGACTGCCAGTAACTCTTGTGGCAACAATTGAGGTGGCTATAACTCACTTCGTCTTGTATTTGAAGGTAGTTAGTTAGTTTATTTTTATTATCTGGGACCATTCTCAATAATCAAGAGCATTCACTTGCCTACATCTACTTTTAATATAATAAAAGAGATCACTATCATAATTATTTCATTAATCAAACAAAATCGGTTTAAATATGGATTTACAAGGACTTAAAGGTAATTACATTTCCTAACCATTAATTAGCCTTTTATCCTAATTTATTAATAGTATTTGTTTCATACTCATTATTTGAGTAACTATTTCACGTGAACCTTTCTCCTTCTCAGCATTGGAAACATGAACTATTTTGAATTTTCCTTTGCAAAACTCCAACCCTTTCAATTTCTTTCCCACTCATGACATCTATCTATATAAAGTCATTTCTGCATCTACTTCCCAATTTATTTTCTATTCGACAACATTTTCTCCCTGAATGCACGGTGTTCTTCTCTCTTCATCTTCCTCTTTTTTTATATGCATATGTTTTTCAAAATTTATTATTTCATATCATTTTGATTTTGCTTTTATTAATTCATCATTCATAGTTGTCATGGATGCAATATCGATTTTACTTTATTTTTATGTTCTTAACCCCAATTGAATTTAAGGCAATAATTTAGAGTATCTCATTCACATCCATGGTGCATTTCAGTGTTGTATGTTGTCGAAATTAACATGGATTTGATATTTTGGCATTAGCCTCTCTTTTATAACAGACTTATGCATTCAAATGTTCCTACATATTTTTCAGTTTTTAACATGATTTTTATCTATTTTAATATGTTAGGGTTGTTTATAATGAGATCTTAAGATCTGAAGCCAATTTGCATAGTAAGAGCGTCAATTAATGTAGGTTTCTTGCATTGAAGGTTGGCGATAAAAACTCTTGAGACAAAATAATGGAATTTCCGATGTTTGAGATTTGACCTATGATTAATTCGTGCAGAACTTTCAAAAGCTTTAGAATTATTTTTTATTTTTAATAGCAGATATGTTTCCGTGTCTATCTTCAAATCAAATAACAAAGTTTTGGCAAATATGTGTTAGATGTGTTTTTGACAGCAATAAAATAATAGTAGAAGTAGCAAAGTAGAAGTCTCCGATAAAGTGTAGGGGACATTTTAAAGTTCAGTTTTCCACTTTAAAAGATAAAATGTTGATGACATTCAGAATCTGATTTGATTTCTAGACTATTTTGCTTTCTGCATTTTTACTGTATTATTATCACATATGTTTATTTTCTTTTAAGATTTTAAATTTTATATTACATGATTGTTTATCTCTTAAATTTCATTTAGGTTATTTTAGATTACATAAACTTATTTTATAGGTTTTTTTTATTGCTGATAAGCATTTAAAGAATTATACTATTTTTTATCAATTTGTAATATTCAATTACATAGTTTTTTTTAAAGATTATATTGTATAAAATGTATTGAACAAACTGTTTTCTTCATATAAATAAATGTTTTTACTTGATGATTAATGTTGATGACTATACTCAAATTAAAACTATTGAATGAGTTAATGTTTGACATTAAGAGTACAATTACTTTAATTATCATTTTTATATAAAATCTATTACATTAATGTCTCTAATATACTATAATTAATATTACAATTTTCAAAATATTTTTTTCCAATTATATTAAATTATTATGTTAATTATTATATTTTATAATTTAAACTGTTTATAATTTATTTAATTCTCTTATCAATATAAATTTTAGAACGTCTAATAATTATTTCTCTTTAATATAATTTTTTATATTTTAAGACATTGAAAATTAATCTATTAAAATAATTTTAAAAAATATTAAATATTATATGACTTTGAGATTCACGAAAACACGCTATTAACCATATGTTTATTAAAAATAAAATTATCAATCAAATGACTCATCATTAATAGTTTTTTGAAAATACAATTATAAGTTAAAATTTTACAATTATTTATATGGTTAAGAATACAAATCATCATTTATAGGATTATATTTAGCATTTATAAACTACTAAATTAATTTCTCATAAAAAATAGTATCACTATTATTTTTTATTCAACATTTATATAACCGTCGAAATTGTATTTTATAATTTTAATTATTTTTATATTATTAATTATTTTTATTTACTATTTATAATAATATTGTCTGATTTATACAAATGTACAGATAGATAATTATCTACTTTTAATATAATAAAAGTAATTATCATCGTAATTATTTAAATAACCAAATAAAATCAGTTTAAAGATAGATTATCAAAGACCTAAACGTTATTATATTACCTAATCATTACTTATCTTTTAAATATTTAATTATTGAATACTAACTAATAAAATTTATTTCTCCACGTTTTGGAATATGCAATTGACTTATTGAAATAGATTTTTTGGAAACGTTCAACTCTTCAGAAAACTTAAAAAATTGAATTTCCAATATGGGTATGTAATCGATTTTATGTGTGTGAAGTGTACTATATCATATACTCACACATTTTCAATATAATTTCTATGTATATTCTGACGACTATTACAACTTCATAAATTAAATTAATATTTATAAGAAAATCATCATTAATATTTTTTAACCATAATTATATAATATTTATTTTATATTTATATCAACTTTGTTTACTTATAAAAACAAAACGATATTTATAAAAAAGAAAAATCTTAATTGAACGGAAATAAGAAATTTATCATTCAATTCCTACCATCAATGCATATATTATTTTTTAGAAAAGGCAATAATTGAATGACAATATGAAAATATTAATAGAATGACAATAACAAATGATATCAAAATTTTAATTTATTAAAAAAATTGTTAGTATTATTTTTATGATAGAATGTTATCAGATATACAAAAAAAATTATAAAATTTGTTTTTGACAAAAAAAAATACGGGACAATAATGATAGATGAATACACAAATTTGATAAGATAGTTTTGGTCATATAAAAATTGATTCACTCAATTAAATATAACTTTTTTATAAATTTATTTAAACATTATCATAAATTTGATGAAAAAATTATATTTAAAATATATATTTTCGACTGGTCAATACTATTTAATTTGTATACTTTTATATATATTTCTTAACTATCAATATACTATATTTATTTATTGCACAACCATGTAAACTCACTATAATTATATACTAACCATATATTCGTATATTTTTATCCTAACCACTACTATAATTATATAATATTTATTTAATATTTATATCAATTTTACATGACCTGCACTTATGTCATTTACTAATGAAAATAGAAAAGTGCTACCTTCTTTCAATGCTTAGGATTGCCAAAAGTATGTCCACTGTTAATAAATTTCGATTAAAAAAATGAGTTTCTCAATCTACCCATATGAAATCTTTAAATCCGTTAAAATATATGCAAAGATTTTTTTTATTGTAATTTCATGACTGGGAAAATCAGAAAAAAAAAGAGTTTCTCAATCAACCCATATGATATCTTTAAATCCGTTAAAATATACATCAGCAAAGATTTTTTTATTGTAATTTTATGAAATTCAAAAATATCTTTGGTAATAGGAAATTAAATTTTTAGACACAAACACTTCGAATGTGAGTCACTCTCCAGTTTGTTAAAGAATAACACCAAAGTTAATTTCTATATTGATGGAAGAGTAAGTTTGTAGATTAAATTTCTTAAATATATTTTAAATTTATGATAGTGTATTTATTTCACAACGTGGATAATTATATAAATTCATGACAGTCAATTTCCAGTAAATTTATTATAAATTTAACATATTTCAATATACTTTATATTTTAATCGATTTATTTAAAGTATACATAATAGTTATTCAATTAAATCATACAATTATGTAATTCAATCAAAATAATATTTATATTAAGTCAAAATAAAAATCATACACTATTCACAAAATAAAAATCATAATACAAATTATTAAAATACAAAGAAAAGTCTATTATTGGATATATCTGATCCTCCGGTTCTTCCTCAACCTTCAGTACTATAAGACATGTCGTGTTTCGGCTATCATGGTCTCTACAACGGTCCTCTCAGGAATGTCTTTATGAAAATCTCTTCTTTATATGCGCACTCTCCCAATAGCCACAATAGATGACAAACTGACAACACATCAACGACATGGTTTACCTTAGCTTGTTTCTCTTCCAATATCTCTTAATCAACTTGTCTAGATGGATATCCCTCCACATCTGTTGTCATGTAAGAATGTGACACTCTAAAATCCATTGGATGAAGCTGCATATAACACTCTATGGTTGAGGAACTACCACACTACATTCGTCATCCTCTAGGACCAGATGATCATAATACTCCACAAATATCTCATTAACATCTATGTGAAGAACTGTGGGAGGAGTAGCAACGATGAGGGCTCTAGGAGAACCCTACAGGTACCCGGAATGGCGCGTGACTCTCTCAGGTAGATGTAGATACATCAATCGTGATCCACAACCCTTACATATAGAGTAAACGGACATCTAATCAGCGTGGCATGTTCTACGGTGATCTTCGTACATTGTGAAGTTTATATCATCTGTCACAATGCAGTCAAGATAAACTCGAAACAACTCGATTGCCTGATTCCTTATGAGCAGGTTAAAGGAGCAAGCAGGTGGTCAAGCCTTGTTGTAGTCATCCACATATGCCTAACCGAAGAGACGTGAAAAGTGCTAAAGATCCATGCCTGAAAATGGTT